GTTAACTACTACACAACCTAACTATATATATATATATATATATATATAATTTCATGCAACCGTTGTATAGTAATATGATGCAATAACTTTAAAAAAGCACTTTATGGCTATTTGTTTAATTCAAATTTTGAAATATATACTATTTTCATTCTAATAAACAATCACAAAGAAAGAAAAAATTGAAAACACAACCTAGAAAATATTTTTTTAACCCAAGAGATGCTTAGATCTAGACATTAGAAGGATATTTTTCATTTCCAATCTTTTTGGATGGCTTTATTATCATTAGATGAACAATGTTAGAAAAGAAAAAAATCATTTTGAGTTCATAAAGGCTAAGATCTTGAAATTCACAAAATGAATGGTCTAGATTCGTTTTTAGAGGAGACTCATTTGATTAATTAATGAGATCAACAAAGTGTGTGTACAAAACTTAGGGTCATATAAATACCACAAACATAGTTGTCTAGAAGTGTCGTTGCATTTTACTATAATACAACCGTTGCATTGGATCATTGTTGTATATATATATGATAATCTAAACTTCACAACCCTTCAAATTACAAAAATTAAAGATAGAGAGAGTTGAGAATGACGGATTTACTAATTTTGTAGTGTATTTTTAAAAAATATTACTTTTTGTAATATCTTCATCATTAGGGTAGTTTTGTAAATATTACTACAAGACGCTAGGTACTTTTGTTATCTCTATAAGAAATAAAATTGAAGTTTTTAGTAAAAGACAAAGGCAATCTACAAATAAAATTCCAGAACACTAGCTTCCAAAATGCTATTGTACTTTCGTAAATATTTCAAATTTGTGATTGCTTAATAGTTAAGTTATCTATTTTAAATTTGTCATTGCTTAATAATTAAGTTATCTATTTCAAATTTGCCATTGCATCTTGTAACACATTTTTCGACCGTCAACTTTTAAGTTATTCATGCATCATCTAACACATTTTTTAATGGTCAATTTTTAAGTTATTCAATTTTTCATAGATATGCATGATCTACACTTGTTTAAAACTTTAAATTTTATAATTAAAATTAAAAATATATTTTAAAGTTAGTCAAAGATTTCCATTATTGAAACCACAATTCTCGAAACTATTTGAAGGTGAGCTCTAATTTGATTGTTTAGAACTTCGGCTCTATACAAACCGGACCATATATATAATGCTATGGTGTTCTATATATTCCATTTTAATTGATTCTCCCTTAAGAGATATATCAAATTGAATCTACGCCATTCAATTATAAACAATCCATTTTCAAAATGTTTATTTCTCTTCATCAATTGCCCTAAAAATGAAATTGGGGTGCTTCACGTTCATTTCATATCCATTTGGAGAAGTAGTTGGAGAGCCATCTATCAACACCTTTGTGGTAAGGGTCTAAGAATTCCCAACTTGAACTTCCACATCCACCGGCCCCTTGTCCAAAAGGGGGTCAGGGAAATTTTTTTTTTAATATAGGAAGATCTTTTAGAGAAAAAAGAAAAAAAAAACCAAACAGAAATGGAGCTCAGAAATTTTGTTTGCTCCAAATCAAACCCTCAAATATCAACTTTGGAAGGTCGAACTTCAACCCCCAATATAATCCATTTATGACCAAAACTCTTACATAACTTAAGATGATGTTTGTATTGTCCGGGAATTTTTCAAACCAAAAAAAAAACATTGTAGACCAAAAAGGGGAAAAAGAAAATAAGGAAATAAACAAGAAAATTACTTTGTAGGAAGGAAGTCATCTTTGAAGAGACAGATAATCAACTGTTTATTTCTCTGTTCCGATGAAGACAGAGGGATCCTCTCTTATCATGAAATTTATCAGTTGGCGTCGTTCTTCTACTCTAAATTGTAAGAGTCGGATTTTCATTTCATCAATCTCAATGCCACGATCAACGGCCCCTCTTTTCTGCTTCTTTATCGATTCGTTGATGGAGGATGCTGTTTCGTTAGAATATGGGTCTTGTTCCTTGCTGGTGATTGATAGTGATGAGAGAGAAAAGAAAGAGTGAGAAGGACGCGGACATTTCTTCTTCCTCGGCCTTGATATGGTTTGAGACAGATTCTCTATGGTTCGCTTCTTTGTCGACTCGGTCATGGAGGATTCCGCTTCCTTTGAATATGAATCTTGTTCCTTGCTGGTGTTTGATAGTGTTGAGAGAGAAAAGAAAGAGCAAGAAGGATACGGACACTTCTTCTTCCTTGGCCTTATCATTATTTGAGTCTGATTCTCTCGGGTTCCCTTCTTTGTAGACTCGGTCATGGCGGATTCTGCTTCCTTTGCATATGGATCTTGTTCCTTGCTGTTGCTTTGAGTTGGGTTTGATGAGCGAGAAAAGAAAGAGCGAGAGGGACGAGGACGCTTCTTCTCCCTTGGCCTTGTCATGGTTTTACAGGTTGCTTCTTCTTTCTCTCTCTGTTTCTTTCTTTCCTTGCGGTTACGTGATTTTATACTTCTTTTTCTGTGTTTCTTTCGTTCCTTGCTGTTACGTGATTTTATAGAGAGAGTTGCGTTTTGTGGTGGAGAGTTTCTATAAAACCCAAATAATATTAAGGGAATGGTTTCTATACTTCCCCTCCAAGCATAGAAGATCTATGCTTCCCTTATCATCCAGCCATCCAATTTTGATCAACAAAGCCACTCATCGTTTGGTCTGTAGATCCGACGGGTCACAGTATTTTTTTATTCATTTTTTTTACACAAATTATATGAATATGAAAAGCATAGAAGAATTATGCTTTCCGTACCATCCAGCCGTCCAATTTTGATCAGGAGACTCACTCACAGTTTGATCTTAGATCCGACATGTCAAAGTATTTTTTTTTTGTTTTTTGTTTTATACAAATTGTATGAATATGAAATTTGGTATGTGCCATCTTCTCATTGGGACGCACCTATTAAAAATATTAAAAAAGAAATTCGATAAAATATAATGATCAAAATACCCCTTGAAATTTCAGGGGTACTTTGGTCATTTTTTTATTGAAAATATTGTTTTTATATTTTTAGCTAGTGCGAGTTTAATAGATGATTGGACGTCCAAAATTTGATATGAAAATAGTTTATGGAAAAAAATTTAAAAATAAAATAGTATAGAGACGTGATATTGTAATTGGGGCAATCGTAGCCCTCCATTCATAATGGAGGGTTGGATAAGGGGAAGTATATAAGTTTTATGATGTAGGGGAAGCATAGAAAGCTTGCCCTAATCGCAAATCTAAACATCTTAAAAAGTAAAGTAAAAAAATTAAAATTAAAAACCCACTCTATTGTATACTTGATACTATTTACTTTTGAAACAAGTTGGTCACAATTGGTTACAATCATCCGATGTGAATTTTAATAGCTTGGATGTATCTCAAAGTTCGAGAAAATTTCTTTTGAAGTTTGAGTTTAGTCGATGGAATAATTACAACCACCTAATTTCACATCTAATGGTCAAGATTAATGTCTCACCTTGTACTAAAAAGTAAATGGTCTCATTTTATTATGTTCCTATTTTAAAATGAAAAGATAATTATACATAGCTGCCAAAGAGATATGGGGAGTTAAAATGAATCTCCTATATTTATGGGATTTAGTTGAGAGAGGGGGATTTACATAAGAAAAACTGAGATTTAGGGAGAGAAAAATATTGGAGAGAGGGAGAGTTTTTTATTTATTTCTTTTTAAGTTTGTATTTTAAGGGAATACGCTTCTTTTTTTTTTGGTAAATAGATGGTGATTGAGTAAAAAAATATTTTTTATCTTTTTGGTAAATATATAGAAAACTCTTCCTAAGGTGTTGCGTGAAACCCTCATCACCATCCAAACTTCATCTCACTGTTACCCTCATCACCATCCAAATTTCATTCTACTGTGACATCATCATCCAAACTTCATCCCACTATGACAGTTGTCCGGTAGTGTTTCATTAAAGAAAAAGTTTATATTGAGCCTAGGCTCTAAACAATCAAATTAGAGCTCACCTCAAAAAAGGTTGTTTTGATGCAAAAATATCCTCGAATTGATCTTCTCGACATCATGATGCATGGTCTTGAGAAAATAATCGATTTCAAGTTTTGAAAATAGTGCATCTTGTAACGCATTTTTGGACAGTCAATTTTAAAGTTATTCAATTTTTCATAAATATGCTTGATCTAAATATTTTTTATCTTTTAAATTTTATAATTAAAAATAAAAATATATTTTAAGGTTAGTCAAATATTTCCATTATTGAATCCACAATTTTTGACACTATTTGAAGGTGGGCTCTAATTTGATTGCTTAATACCTCGGCTCTATACAAACCGCTTCCTATATATAATGCGCGAGTGTTTTATGTATTTCATTTTAATTGATGCTCTCTAAAAAGATGTATCGAATAGAATCTACGCCATTCAATTGTAAACAATCCATTTTCAAAATGTTTACTGCTCTTCATCAATTTCCCTAAACATGAAATTGGGGTGCTTCACGTTCATTTCATATCCATTTGGAAAAGTATTTGGAGAGCCATCTATCAACACCTTTGTGGTAAGTGTCTAAGAATTCCCAACTTGAACTTCCACAACCACGGACCTCTTGTCCAAAAGGGGGTCAGGGACATGTATTTATTTATTTATTTTATTTATTTTTATTTTTTGTTTTTTTTTTAAAAAGATCTTTTAGAGCCTTGTTTTACACATTTCTAACAAATTTCAAGAAAAAAAAAAAAAACAAAAAGAAAGAAATATAGCCAACAAATTTTTTATTGCTCCAAATCAAACCCTCAAATGTCGACTTTTGGAACGTCTTATGATCAAAACTTTTACATAACTTAAAATGATATTTGTATTATCCGGGAATTAAAAAAAAAAAAATTCATTCCAGAAAAAGGGAAACAAGAAAATAAGTAAATAAACAAGAAAATTACATTGCAAGTCATCTTTGAAGAGACAGATAATCAACTGTTTATCTTAGGCCTCTCTCTGTTCCGATGAAGACAGAGGGATCCTCTCTTATCATGAAATTTATCAGTTGCCGTCGTTCTTCCACGGTAAATTGAAAGAGTCGGATTTTTATTTCATCAATCTCGATGCCACGATCAACGGCTCCTCTTTTCTGCTTCTTTATCGATTCGTTGATGGGGATTTTGTCTCGTTTGAATATAGGTCTTGTTCCTTGCTGGTGTTTGATTGTGATAAGAGAGAAAAAACTGAGCGAGAAGGACGCGGACACTTCTTCTTCCTCGGCCTTGTCATGGTTTGAGACAGATTCTCTCTGGTTCGCTTCTTTGTCGACTCGGTCATGGAGGATTCTGCTTCCGTTGAATATTGATCTTGTTCTTTGTTGGTGTTTGATAGTGTTGAGAGAGAAAAGAAGAGCAAGAAGGACGCGGAGACTTCTTCTTCCTCGGCTTTATCATGGTTTGAGACAGATTCTCTCTGGTTCGCTTCTTTGTCGACTCGGCCATGGAGGATTCTGCTTCATATTGATCTTGTTCCTTGCTGTTGTTTTCAGTTGGGTTTGGGAGGTTTGATAGTGTTGAGAGAGAGAAAAGAAAGAGCGAGAAGGACGCGGAGACTTCTTCTTCCTCGGCATTATCATGGTTTGAGACAGATTCTCTCTGGTTCGCTTCTTTGTCGACTCGGTCATGGAGGATTCTGCTTCATTTGAATATGGATCTTGTTCTTTGCTGTTGGGTTTGGGAGGTTGGCCATAGAGAGTGATGAGCAAGAAAAGAAAGAGTGATAGAGAGAGAGAGAGAGTAGCGTTTTATGGTAGAGAGTTTATAAAAAACCAAAATAATATTAAGAGAAAGGTTTTTATACTTCTCCTATGCTTCAAAATAAAAAGAAAGATAATTATGTTCTTTGTTATACTTTAAAATAAAAAGATAATTATGTTCTTTGCTGTTGTTTTCAGTAGGACTTGGAAGGAATATGTATGTTTCTCCTAGAGGGGGAAAGCCCACAGCAGTGAAAATTCCGTAGCAATTTATGACATCCCATTAAATCGATTCAATGCCAGGACCCTTTTCTAGGCCTTTTTTCTGGTGTTATTTGTTTGTTTGTTTGCAGTATGTGTGGTAAAAGATTTGGAATGCTTTATAAGTAAATATTTTTTGAAAATGTTCACTTTTGTATTGTATAAAATAAAGTTGTACAAGCTATCAAAAACTTTACAAGGAATTATCATTTGGGCCTTACATTACATGATGATGATGAATTAAAATTCAGTCTTAATTTTTGTGCGCGTTAGAAAATTTCTTTCCGGATGTTTGGCCACTTTAAGAAAGAAACCCGAAACTAAGCCACACGTTAGGGTAGCAAATAAATGTATCTACTCCATTTGTTGCCAATCCTCTCTTTATATGCAAATAAGATCAGTGTCACTTTTATAAACGTAATTAGCTTGAATTCCTTCATTGTCGCTTGTCACACTCACACCCTATTATTATTGGTGTACCTCTAAATGTTGTTGGAAGATATAGTTTTAGTTTCAGAAACCTTACAATGTCTTGATAATTCATGTTTAACTCTAATTTTGAAATTTTAAAATTTAAAAATAATGTAGATTGAACAGATCTTTAAGCACTTAAAAATCTTGAAAATACATGGTCATATAACTTAATAATACAAGATGCATTATTTTTAGGACTTGAAATTTAATTGTTTTCCTTAGCATCCATATATCTTGAGGTCTAGATGAACAGTTTGAAGGTTTTCAAACTTTGTAACAGTCTTTTCTACTGAATTTTTGAGGTCCACTTACTTCGATACCATAAAGTCGCAATCGTATCTTGTTAGAAACATGGCTTTGAGCATATTTCCATGTACGTGGGCAAAACCCAACTTAGACTATTTTTTGCAATCGTATCTTGTTAGAAACATGGCTTTGAGCATTTTGTCCATGTACTTGGGTAAAACCCTAAGACTATTGTTAGGGTCTTAAATTTTAGGGATGTTTAACACAGTCTAAAGATTGAATATAGATGGTCCAATTTTTGAAGGGTAAAATCTCAGTGTTGAAAAAATCAAAATCCTTTTTTGTGCCCTTGAAATCAAATTGCATGTAATCTTTAGGTGGATCCCCAAATTTCAAATAAAAAACTCCTAGCAATCAGCTCTTTTGCCTAACCGACCAAATGCACATTATGTTCCCTAGGCACCGCATAAGCTCTCATTATCTTCTACTCGAGATCGAAAATTTGGTGTAGCCGGTTATATCAGAGAACTTCGAGACGTGTGATGGCAATGGCTGCCATGACATATAAGAAATGGAAAAAATAAACAAGACTTGCAATTTCAAAGCTAAATTTATAACAGCCACTGATATATATAACAATAAAAATAGTGGTATCATAATGTGACATCGTTCTTTTTACAAGATAGGGAAAAGAACAATATGGTGACGGATGTAATAGATGTCATGTATGAAGTTCGAAAAAAAAAAAGAAAAAAGAAAAGAAGGAAACAAGAGAGGTTATATAGATATATAATTAAGGAAATGTTTCTATACTTCCCCTATAGCATAGAAAATCTATCTTTCTCCTATTATCCAGCAGTTTAATTTTCATTAAGAGAGCCACTCACCGTTTGATCTTGGATCCGACGTCCCAAAAGTATTTTATATTCATTCAATTTTTTTATAAAAATTATATGAATATAAAATATGGCATGTGTCATCTTCTTATTGGGGTGCACCTATAAAAAATATTAAAACTAATTTTTATATGAAGTATAATGACCAAAATACCCCTTAAAATATTCAAGGGTATTTTGGTAATTTTAGTTTATTGGAAATATTGTTTTTATATATTTCTCTCTTTGGAGTTTACTAGAGGAATAGATGTTCAAATTTTGGTATTAAAATAATTTGTAGAAAAAAATTAAAAATAAAATAGCGTGGAGACATGACATTGTGATTGGGGCAATCTTAGCCCTCCATTCAGAATGGATGGTAGGATAAGGGAAACTATATAAGTTTTATGTTGTAGGAGAAGTGTAGAAAGCTTGCCCATGTAATTAATAAGATTGTATACAATGAGACATTTTACCTTAGATACAAGGTGGTCACAATTACTTACTAATTGTTGGTGGTTCTTTTACCGTTTACCTCCAATGTATCCTAGGATCAAGCAAGAGAGAAAGAACTTTTTGAGTAAATAATTGTGCCCCACTAGTTTGCGGTAGTTCTTTATTGCATATATAATAGTAATACAATGATATAAGGGTGCAATTGGCATAATGATGCATCCGTAGCTATAGAGGTAAGGTGCACCTTCAAATTTTGTCACGGTATATACTTTTGATGTAAAATGTTTTTAGGATTATCTCAAAATATATTTTTATATCTAATTATAAAATTTAAAATTTAAAAAAAGGTTAAAATCAAGTAGATCTATAAACATATGAAAATCTTGAAAATGGACGGCGTAGATAATATCTTGTAAAATGCACTATTTCTGAGACTTAAAATCTTCTTATTTTTCATGGTCATACATCTCGATGTCGAGATGATCAATCAAGAGTTTTTTCAATATTAGAACTACCTTTTCCAATGGATTTTTGAGGTGTATCCATAGTTCTACATTATAAGGTTGTATCCTTGTATAAACTTTTCCATGATATAATATACACTTTCCTATCTTATTACATGAAATATACACTTTCCTATCTTATTCCATTCTTCTCTAATAAAGAAAGAGCAATATACAGTCCTATCTTGTTTGAATTTTTACTTGATAGTTTAGGTGCGTCACAGAGTTCGAGAAAATTTCTTTTGAAATTTGAGCTTGATCAATAAAATAAATGCAGTTACCCAATTGCTCTTCTAATGGTCATAATTAATTGTGATCATCTTCCACCAAAGGTAAATGATCACATTTAATATTTTTCTATAATCAATAACACCCATGCTGCCTCCAAACATACATTTTTAGAGTTTTGCTTTTTTTATTTTTTATTTATTTTAAAGAAAAGGAAAATAATAATTAGTGGTTTCTTAATACATCAATAGGAATGAAAAATATTGGGACAGGCGAACCAGAGGAAAATCCTAACCCACGAGAGAGGCATGTGTTACCCTTATATTTAGTGTCTTATCTTATTCTCCAAAATAGGGACATACACATATTTTTGTTTGGGTAAGTGAAATAGATATTGAATTTCATAAGGAGCAAACAACATAGGAATTGAAATTATTTCAAAAAAGGCATCCGATAATCACGATAAAGAGGATATAATTTCTAATAACATCCAACAAAATTTGAATAATATGAAAATATTAGGATAAAATTGGTATTAGCAAGGACTTGTACAAAAACAAAGGTAATAGAGCTACTTCTCTCTCTATGAAGGTGGAGAAAGAGTAAAAGGTACTATACTAGGTCGATGCCACACATGGTCAGCTCACTTAAGTCTACTCTCTCTCATCTTATCGTTTATTAGTGTCATACCTAAAGCTTTTGGCATGGATTTATTTTCGGATTCTAGTTCTTTTTGTCTTGCCACTCATCAATTTCAACATCCTCATCTCAATTACACACTCGTCGATTTCAACATCTTCATCTCAATTACACTTCTTTTATGGGTTAATAGAGAATAAATACAGCCACCCAATTTCACACCTTTTATGGGTTAATAGAGAATAAATGCAGCCACCTAATTTCACATCTAATAGTGAAGATTAATGGTTTTTGAATGCATCAATAGTAATCAACAGTAATGAAAAGGCGAACCTGGAAAAACTAAAGAGATGACCCCACAAGAGAGGTATATGGTACCCTTATTTGTAGTGCTTTCTCTTCTTCTTCAAATAGAGACATATACATATATTTCTTTTTGGGTTATTTTCAGTGCGTTCTCTACTTCTTTGAATAGGGACATGCATATATCTCTTTTTGGGTAAATGATATAGATATCTTCAAAGAGCAAATAATTTTTTGCTAATTAGAGATAAGTAAAAAGAGAGTATATAAGAGATAATCATGATAAAGAGGATATAATCTATAATAATATCCAAAAAAATTTGAATAATATAAAAATTATAGCGATAAAATTGGTATCAAGCACTTGCACATAAAACAACCCTGCAGGTGGAAAGAGAAAGTAATGACAAGGTGAGAGGGGAGAGAGAAGTAATTACAAGGCTAGCGTGAAGATAGAGAGAGAAAATAATGACAAGGGTAATAGAGGTGGAGCCCCATTTCTCTTTCAGTGAAGTTGGAAAGAGAAAGTAATTCCTTGAAAGTGGAGAGAGAAAGTAATGGAAATTGAGTTGATTTATATAAATGGAAACATATAGCTCATTTCCCAACTCCTGTGTATCTAAACTTATTATCAATTTACACTTCTATTTTTATTATAATTCCGAGTAGCAATTGAGATGACAACCCTTGAAAAATGATTTCAATTCAACGCTATGTAATTCTTTTTCTCACACATATAACAATACCGTTTCTCTTCTCATTTTTTACGATCACAGAGCAAAAACATCTAGAGAGAAAAAAAACTAGAGAGAAAAAAACTAAGTCTTTCAATCTTCTATGCCCATCAAGAAATAAATAAGCGAACAAAACATCGAGGGAGAAAAAAAAGAAACCTCTTTCTTTGATGTGCACATCAATAAATAAGTAAGCCAGAAAGTGATTTTATCTCTTTAACTGAAAATATGAACTATGTTGTCAAGATATAAATATATGACAAAATGATTCTCTCTCTTCAAC